CCTTTCACTGTTTTTTTTTAGTTTTTTTTGTTTTTTCTTATTGCCTTAGGCTAGATTCTGACCAACATGAACAATACAAGCAGCCAAACGCTTCCCGTTTGGAAAATGTGGATCTGGAGCACAACATTTATGTTGGAAAGCATAACGATTGTCTTTGCCAATTCCATCACAATTTATATCTTCTTGAGTCAAAGGAAAACTCTGAGGCACACAAGCTACGTAGTAATCAGCTTGGCTTTGGCTGACCTAAGCGTAGGCCTGTCGGCAGGTTGTTTTGGTGTGGAGAACCTGGTCTTCAGCTATACTGGAGAAAAGCCCACCGCGATAGGATGTCTAACTGTAGATTTTATCTCAGAATGTGCTTCTATTGTGTTTCTAGTTGTTCTTTCTTTAGAGAGAATGCATGCCGTATTTTGGCCTCTACGTCATCGCATTACTAAAACCCGTAGTTATATTTATGTTATTTGGGCAGCTTGGCTGTTTCCTTTCACTTTCACAGTCATATTTATAATAACGTACATTGGAATTATCAACCGGAAAATCTCGATGAGTTTGTTTATTTTCTTGAAGGCTGCTTTTTCGCTCATTGTTTGCATCGTATACTGTAGAATTTGGTTTCGTGTGAAGCACCTACGAAAGCAAAGCATACGAAAGCATCGTCATATCGCAAACAGCAACTTAACCAAAACCTTGCTAGTTGCCTCTCTTCTATCAGTGGCAGCATGGCTTCCCGCGAGCGCCACACTGCTGGTTAGTGTCCTTTGCAAGAACTGTTTGTTGTTAAACAACTCAAGCCGTGTTGTTTAGGCGGCAAGGATTCTTCAGTTTGGAAACTCTCTGCTGAACCTTATTATCTACAATATAAGGATGCACGAGTTCAGGGCCAAATTGATTAGATAACTCTCCAGGCGTCTCTCGAGAACGTCGATTCAACCAACGTCCTTGATATCGCGAACTTTACCAAATTTTGCCGTACAGTCTGCTCCTATAACACTGCTGTCCTTAAGACCTCTAGCCAGCTCTTCGAGCGGTCGTATAAATTTCTCGATCAGCAACCAGGAAAGTGAAATGGTAAAATGACATATTAATTAGCAATGAAACAGAGAGATAAAGGAAATCCGGATCTTCTTAACAAAGCGATTTCGAATCTCCCGCTTGTTATTAATCATTCGAAACCGGATTCCATCAAAAGCATCAAATGCAGATGACTCGTTGACGTCACACAAGCGAACGCAATGTCGCGTGATACTGGTACCTTTTACGCCGTTTATTTCGATTTTGATTGCCCTACCCTTCAGCGGGTCCTGTTCACGTGATCCCCCGGAAATGCATGTTTCATGCATATGTTCCCTTGTACCCTATGTTCCTGTGAACGCGGGTTAAAGTTGACCATGTTCCCCTACTCCCTAAAACCATTGGGAGACCTATTAAATGGCGTCGGACACGAGATGCTAACCAACTGTCAACGGTTATTTATTACTTCATTTTTATCCAACGCTTGAAATGCATGTTACATAGCAAAATATCGCGGTAGCAAGTTTACTTTTTTTGAAGAAAGTGAACAAGTAACATACTCACAGTAGTTGCTATTCATAAATTGAACTATAAAAAAATCTACGAGATATTTATTTCTCCAAGCGTTACAATTGCATTATATCAGCTGGATTATATCATGACATGACTTGTTGGAACATTATATAAAGACAGTGCACTTGAAAAGTGGATTAGTGCGATATTTGTTCGGCTATCGCCTAACGTATTTACCTCGGGATTACTGGAGTGACCGCGGCATTTGGAATGGAAAATAGTTGTGACACAGCTTTTCTGTAATCTGGCATTCTTAGACAATAAATCAAAAAATTAATAAACGAATTACTGAACTGAAGGAGTTTAAGAACAAAAAGGACCACAATGTGCATTTTTCTACACGGAACACACATATTTACTAGAACTAGTAGAATTTTGAATGGTAGGCAAGTCAACACAAATGTTCCTGTTATCAAAAACAATGTCTTAGACAGCTTCGACTCTCTCCTCGCCCTCACTCCGTTTTGTATGCGGGAAGTCTGCTTACGCCAGATGACGCAGTAAGAAGAGCACGTTATTAGCAAAGGAGTTGACAAACTGATAATAACAACTGTTAATAACTGATGACGTGTCACGATTGAATAGTGCTGAAACACTCGAACTGAAGTCACCGCGAGGGAGAGGATCCATGGCGTTACTATGGCAATGGCGTAGCTATGTGAGGATAACTGCCGATGACGAAGTGGCCGACTGATGACAAGCACTCTTTCAAGAGAAATAACGGTCAATGTGAAAATGGAGGAGAGACCTGTAAACATATCGACTCCATCAAGAACGAGTAGTGACACGAGTTTGCGTTCAGAGATGACCGTGGTCATATAAATCGGTACTGCAAATAATCCAACTAGCAGATCAGCTATTGCCAAATCGATTAACAGGTAAAGAGAACGTTTGCGAAACCTTCGCTTGACAA